AAAAAAAAAAAAAAAGATATTATGAGTTTGATTTGCCTTGACTAATACAGTCTTACATAAATTCTCACCAGCAAACTCTAGATTTTTTTGTTCCAGTGTTGACCTGAGCTCTATCCACTTCCTAAAACATGTTCTCTGTATCAGGTCACCAGCAAGAGAACACAGCCTCAGAGTCATAAGATAGCCATTATATTGTTACATTAGACACTGAACATACTACACATCCTAATAATCCACTTTAAGATATTGTTTAATTTCCAGAATTATCATGATCACCTAGCACTAATATACTGCTCTGCAGAGTTCACTATTTGAAAATAATTTAAGTCATCTCTGAAGAATACTGATATAACACCAAGTACTTAGCGCAGGTCAGTCATTTTTACTCTACACTTTATGTGCATGAGCATTTTAGGCTGCTTGACTCCAAGGTGGGGCAGTCCAGGTTCCAGGTCTGGCCCCAGCCCCGGCTCCAGTTAGTGGGGAGGAGAGCATTTTATTGACTTATCACCCTCAGTATATGGGGCTGGCACCCTACTCACTGAGCCACAGGTGTAGCCTGAGGAGAGCGTTTTAAAAAGAGTTTTAAGAGAATGATACAATTACATTTGCATTTTTCTTTTTTTTTGAGACAGAGCCTCAAGCTGTCCCCCTGGGTAGAGCGTGCTGGCATCACAGCTCACAGCAACCTCCAACTCCTGGGCTCAAGCTAGTCTCCTGCCTCAGCCTCCCAAGTAGCTGGGACGACAGGCACCCACCACAACACCCAGCTATTTTTTGGTTGCAGCCATCGTTGTTTGGCAGGCCTGGGCTGGATTCGAACCTGCCACCTAAGGTGTATGTGGCTGGCGCCTTAGCCACTTGAGCCACAGGCTCTGAGCCTACATTTGCATTTTTGAAAGACCACTATGGCTGTAATATGAAGAATGAACTTGAAATGAACCAAAAGAGAATGCATGAGAACAATTTTAGAGAATCAAAATAGTACAGGTGAAATGACTTGTGTTCTGAATTATGGTATGGAAAGAAATGGATGAATTCTCAAACTATTTAGGTGAAATATCTACATGACATGATGACACAGTGGGTGAGGAAGAGCTGAGTGCCAGAGACAAACTTGATGGTAAGCAAGGTGTGCATTTTGTCTGAGGACATTTCCACATTCCTTAGATTCTAAAGATCTGTCTATACCATGAATTCTCCCATTTAAAATAGCCACTCTGAGGCCAAGGTAAGAATGCTTGAGCTCAGGAGTTCAAGACCAGCTTCTGCAAAAGTGAGACACTCCCTCCCCGCCCCCACAAAAAATACAAAAATAAGGTGGGTGTGGTAGCATGCATGGTCCCAGCTATTTGGGAGGCTAAGAGAGGAGAATCACTAGAGGCCAGGAGTTGGAGGTTGCAGTGAACTATAAACTACTAGTCTGGCTGAAGGTTTTTCTATACTCCTTACATTTATGGTTTTTATCCAGAATGTGTTCTCCGATGAGAGCAAAGGATGGCAAAAGGCTTTGCCACATGTACTATATTTAAGGTTCTTCTTTAGCATGACCTCTTTGATGATAAATAAGGGATAACTTTCTTCTGAATGCCTTCCCACATTCAAAACACTGATAGGGCTTTTGGCCACTGTGAAGTCTTTGATGCTGAGTGCGGGATGAGCTATCACTAAAAGCCTTTCCACATTCAGTACATTTATAAGGTTTCTCTCCAGTATGAACTCTTTGGTGCTGTATAAGATTAGAAGTCTGGCTGAAGGCTTTCCCACATTCACTACACTGATAAGGTTTTTCTCCTGTATGAGTTTTCTGATGTTGGGCAAGGTGTGATTTCTGTTTGAAAGCTTTGCCGCATTCCTGACAGTCATAAGGCTTTTCTCCAGTATGAATTCTCTGATGTGTAGCCAGCTGTGAACTGATTCTAAAAGCTTTTCCACATTCTTTACATTCATAAGGCTTTTCTCCAGTATGAATTCTCAAATGACTAGCAAGGTGTATGTTTTGCCTAAAAGCCTTCCCACATTCCTTACATTCATATGGTTTCTCTCCAGAGTGTACTCTTTGATGTTGAGTGAGTGACCCATGATGGCTGAAGTCTTTCCCACAAATGTCACATTCATAAGGTTTCTCTCCTGTGTGAATTCTCTGATGTACAGTACGGGATGAGCCAGAGCTAAAGGTTTTTCCACACACATTACATTTGTAGGGTTTCTCCCCAGTGTGAATTCTCCGATGCAGAATAAGTCCTATGTGAACACTGAAGGCTTTCCCACAATCAATGCAATTAAAAGGCTTCTCTCCAGTATGATAACTCCTCCAGTGACGAATAAGAGATGTGTTATACCTGAAGTCTCTCCCACATTCAATACATTCATAAGGTCTTTTGCCAGTGTGACATCTCTGATGTCGAGCAAAAGATGAGCCATCACTGAAGGCTTTGCCACATTCCTTACACTCATAGGGTTTCTCTCCAGTATGAATTCTCTGATGCTGAGCAAGATGTGCAGGCTGTCTGAAGGCTTTTCTACACTCCTTACATTTATATGGTTTTTCTCCAGTGTGAATTCTTTGATGTTGAATAAGGTGTTCGCTTTGTTTGAAGGCTTTCCTACATTCTTTACATTCAAAGAGTTTCTCTCCAGTATGTGTTCTATGATGTTGAGCGAGGTGTTGCCTCTGCTTGAAGGCTTTTCCACATTCCTTACATTCATAGGGTTTCTCTCCAGTATGAATTCTATGATGAACAGTAAGGGATGAGCTGTGAGTGAAGGTTTTGTTACATTCATTACATTTAAAAAGTTTCTTGGATACACAGATGTTCTTGTGAGTTATTACCATAGAATGTTTTGAGAAGCTTTTTCTATCCAACTTGTGATCATAAACACTCTCTTCTATATTATCCAAATGAACAAGTTTCCCAAATTTGGTGTATTTGTGGTCTGTTTTCTTAGTGAGGGTTTTCTTATGACTGACTGGTTCTGTCCTGCTAAATGTTTCTTGACTTCCCATCTTCCTCTCAAAAAAGTCTTTCCATTTTTCTCCAAAAGTGGAACACTGGAGTCCACAGCTTGTAATTCTCTTCATGAATGCATCATCATCTATGAACTGTTTCAGAGATGATTTTTGTGTCTCATATATAGATTCCCAATCTGAAAGACATAAAAAAAAGCAAATGTTTCCTTTATCATGAGCTATAGCAAAAGAGAAATATAAAGTGAAAAAGGTAATTCAAAAATATTTAATGAGTCCCACAAAATCTATCATGTACAGACATGTGAACTAGAAAACATGTAGGAGATGCCTAAGAATGAAAGCTCATGAAGGAATATGGAAAAAATGATTAAGAAAACTAAACGAAGGACAATGGAATCCTGGAGAAGTAGTGGAAATAAATATATTTTATACCTGTATTAAACTAACAGACTGAAAATGAAGCTCCCTTCTTCTGTTCTCTCCTAGTTCAAATTGCTTTGCATCTAGTTAGTGTAACATTGTTTAAATATCAATCTCATCATGTCACTATTGCTGTTCAAGTTTCTTGAGATTCCTCAATATCCACACACCTTACACCTGTGACTACTTTGGGATTTAGCTGAAATCCTATGGTTATCTTTTCATCATAATCAGAAAACTGTATCCCTAGGAAACCTTATACAACTTTCAATACAGTGAACTCTTCATATCTTTTTATTTTTGTGAGCTGTTGCCC